TAGCCTATTTTAAGTTGTTTCCACTGTTGATAGGAAAATGCAAGTGTTCGCGCCCGCGCCCCGCGCCCCGCGCCTCCGTGCCATCCAGTGCGCACTCCACATTCCGCACACACACTTGGATATGCGTCAAAATCTTGTTTAGCCTATTTGTGATCATCTTAGCCCTGTATTATGAATGATATGTGACGAATTGCTTTGTTCCTTTTTTTTTGATAAGCGTCTTCTACATATATAGCCTAATAAATGTTATAATAATGATGATAATTATTATTATTATCCCCGCGTCTTCTCTAAGTCAGCCAGGGCCGCATTAAGAGCTCACTGGGCCCCGGGGCTATGAGTTACTGCAGGGCCCCCCACCACTACAGGTCACCAACTAGCCTACATGAGCTAAATGTTCTATCATTATGAGTCATTTTATCCATCTATGATATACTTCACAGTTAAGTTATATTACTTTTAAAACGATTTTTTATCATATCAAAATTTAATGGGACTAACATTTCATAATTCTTGTGACCAATTTCAATAATAGTAACTTAAGAAAAGAATCTCAAGCTTACCGATGACAAGAGTCACAAATAACAATAGAACAAAGGCACATAAGAAATCGACCTTGAAAAATTTAAAGCACTGAATAATATTATATTGTATAAAGTAGGCCTAATCAAATATACAAAACATAGTTTTCAGTATAAATTCAACATTCATTCTTATTAATTTTACAAAAGTGATTCATTCAAGGGCAGTAAATTACTTTCTTTCTGATGTTTGATTAACATTACACAAATGGCGACAGCAGCTTTATTAGCAGCTACTGTCACTTTAAGACCTCAGGTCGGAACTCAAGTGCGCTGTGCAAAACCGCCTCAAGTTATCATTTAAAATAATTTGTATCCTTCCAAACCACAATTATTAAAAACGTGTTTAATTTATAAACTTACATCATGATGTCTCAGCAAAATTTACATATTTCTACCGGATATACTATTATCGCCAGCCCTTTAGGCGAATATAGAGTTTGATCAAACACAAAAAGCAAGATCAAACATCCATCAAGTTAATAATCAAACTTACCGAAAATTTGTGGGGTCGACGATGACGCTGTGTTTTAAAAAATAGTCTAGACTCTAGAGTGAAGGGTGGAGGCGATTTATTGGTTGATGCGTAGCTATATTCTAATAAGGCGCAGGCACTCCAGGCAGCCATCTATATAGGCCTATGTGCAACAGCAGGTCGATCGTTCACAAGTTAAATATAGAATAAATGTATTATGTTAAATTAAAACGTGACGTTTCATTTCACCATGCCCTGTCCTGGTGCCCACGGGGGTTTGATTGACAGGCGACCTGGCCAATCATAACGCCGAATACGCAATTTTGTCAGACAACAAAGCTGTCAGTAGATTAACGTCGGTGGACTTGAACTTGAAAACGGTATGGTTTAAATTATTTAAATTACAATATTTGAAAGTTGAGACTTTGTTTCATATCAACAGTAAGCTGCTCTGAACTCTCTCTCGTAGTCAATTGTGTAACGTTATAGGCCGGGAGCCAGGTCCACTCCTCAGGATGTTTTTTGCTACCTTTTTTTCACTATTATTTCCTATTATTTTATACCTTGGGCCATCACAAGTTGATAATGACCACCCCCAACTCGGCCCCGTTTGGTCTCAGGGGCCAAAAAACACCCTTTTTGGGGAAAGATTTTGGCGGAATGATGTAATTGTGAATATTAAGGTACTGCAGCTACATGAATGGTCATATAACCCCCAAATTTTGCATGGTGTATCCTGACACATAGGGTAAACTAGCAGAAAAAGATTCTGGGGATTGCTGCTTTTTTGCTGTCAAATATCACCCTCAACATACCCCAAAAGACAAAAAAATGTCTGTCCGCCTGACAAATTGTCATCACAAGTGACCATTTTCAAGCATTTTATTATACACATCACTGCCCCAAATGTACATGAAAAACTTCCCAAGTTTATAAGCTTCAATTTAAGTCCAAGATGACCTTTCTATCTAGAGGATTGCAGCTGGTATAACCAAAGTTCTCCACTGTACCTCCAATCGGAGAAAATGGAACTTTCAAGCATTACCATTCCATAGGGAATTAAAGGTACAATATGCAGGATTTTTCGCCACCAAGGGTCGCAAACCTCTTACAATAACAAAGGCGTATATTGATGACGTATATTCTGTATTAAGCGAAATTATGGATCTTGTCGTCAAGCTGATGGATCTTTTATGGATGAGTGAGTACATTGATGTTTTTAACATGACTGTTGTGTGAAGCAGGGCGCGATTGCTAGACGTATACCAGCGCCACACGCAATGCGAGTCCCGCGGATATAAAGCATAAGGACATTTCATTCTACCGACTACACGCAAGTGCTGCATTACTACTCACACAGGTCAGTTTATTAAACTAATGAAACTTGAGGTAACGCAGCGCTGTTTCACTTGCTCTAACAGTTACACTATCACACTAAACAGCATTTGAGTGTGTTGAATGTTGTTAGTTAGGTTGTTTGTTGGCTGTATGAGACTAAGTAAGCTAGATCAACATTAGAATAACATACAGATCATATTCTAACATTTCATCATGTTGAACTAAATAACGTGTGTCGCCATGGTTACTATTGCAGTACGAACTCAAACCTGGCGGAAACCAGGGCTAATGCGGATATGACGCCATTGACTGGCGACTCCTCACCCCTGCTCACACACCCCGTTTCCTTGGTTAAAATCGCAATTTTCTCACGATTTACAAATAGTTGGAAAATTTGGGATATTGTAAGTAGCCTAATCAACTAAACAAAATATATAACATGGGCCTAGTGGTTTTTGGATATTTTACTGCAAAAATCCTGGATATTGTACCTTTAACCCTCTGGGGTCTAAGGTGTTTTTGAGGTCCTTGAGATGTTTGGACATGCCCTGACATTTGTGCTTTTTTCAGTTGTGCTTTTTTTCAGCAAAGGTGTAATTACACTCTATTTAGCACAAACAGGGCTACCATAATATGTGAGCAACATGTATGTACATGTTTGTATTTTTGAGAGAATATCGTTTATGCATGGTTATTGAAAAAACTAAAAATTAAAGTTTCTGAAATAAGGCCACAAAACACATACAAAATATCTGTCCACAAGACTTTTGACTAATGGATGTTGTCGCCTAGAGTTTTTGCTTCAAAATGATCTGAAAATTCCTTTCGTGTTTTAAAAATGTAAGTGTTCGATAAGTTCATAAATTGTTAAATTAGAACTTAAAGTCCACGTTAGCAGAGCTTTTGTTAGGTCCAATAACGGGCTTCAATCCGTGCGCAGGTAAAGCGCCGTACATTTCAGTTTATCTTTGATCCTAGCTGGTTGACTAAGTCCTTTTTCGCCCGGACATGTCCTCTTTTGGACCTAAAAAAATGCTTCAGAATTTGTATCCGCCCTCGTCAATTTGCATGTATAGCATGACGAATAATTATCTGCACATAAAGCTTTCGTAAAATTAAAAATAAAACAAACTATATGGTACCATTGCCTCTCCGTCCGACTTTTTTCCTCCTTATCAATATACAGGTCGTCTTTGTAATCGTACCATAACCTACAGTGTTTCATTTTTAATTTGATGCACTTCCATCTCTTCTGGAAGTTCTGAAATGTAACTTTAGTACATTTTTATGGGTAATGAAATGTATGATTTGTCATTAATTTAGTGACTTGTGTTTTTTTTTTTACAGTGCTTCTAAACTCCAGGTTGCTGATATCTGCCGGTACTTCATCAGTCCAGTTGCCAATCAGCAGTTACACAATTACTTATGCTGTGTGCACAGCATGCTGTAATTAAGATAATATACCTTAGTCAGGGTAGATGCCATATTGAATTTACTGTAACCTGGATGAAAATCAGGGCTCTGAGGGATTGACTTGCAGTCTTTACAATGGTGAGCAGACCGCACACTGAATGGGCTAAAAAAGGTCTTAGATCATGTAATTTTCGTAACATAACTTTCAAAACCAATTTATCGAGTTTGTCTATTGAATTTCTTTTTGTTAGCTGGACAATTGCGTTAAACAACAGTAGGATCCATTGAACCCACTTGTACTTCTATCCCTCACAGCCTAGTTTTCATTCCTGTCAAAAGATATGGGGCTACCCTGACTAAGGTCTATTATGAGATGACATGTGAGGTTCTACTTGGAGCTGTTCATGTCCTCAGACTTATGTCAACACCTAAATGAATTTGCAGCGGTCAGGTGGTACAAGATGGAATCTCAATTATATACATTGCGTGAATGCACTTTTTTTTTTTTTTATCTTAAACCTTTTGTGTACGATCACACAGTGTGATTAGAACATTCAGTGTGGGTCAATGACTATATTCAAGTTTGCTTTTGTGCTTTGGCTGGTGCTGAGCATGGTCAAATCTGTAAGCAAGGCATTCAAGCCCTGCATATAAAAACAGTTGGGGCTCAGCATCTTTAAGATCCTCACACTATAGCGCTCTGCCGTAATGGTATTTTAAGTCATAAAGCTTAAATCAGACAATGCATATTGTTCTGAAGGCATAAAGAAAGCAGTTTTGCTTTAAGATATGCTCACTCTTAACTGCCACTTTTTTTTGAAGAACTTGGAGTTAAAGATCCTGTAAATGATGCATCGTGGTAATCCAATAACATTCCTTGTTATGTATCATTCACTCTAAAACCCACATTACTGTATAAGGTTTTCTTTCTCACAGTATTTAGTATTTTGCAGATGTAGTATCTGGAGTTTCTCTCCCCTTATAGTTTGTCAGTCTCACCTTACTACAAATAAAACCTGAAGCTGGAATCTTATCTTTTCAGAGACTGTTGTCACATGTGATGGGTTTGTCCAGCGTCTCAGTTGTGGTAAGATGTTGTAATGTCATTCAACTAAAATATTTTACTTTTTTTCTTGAGTAATCAATGTCCTGATGTTTTTCTTCCATTTAGCCTCTGGTGTGATCCATGTGGAATCAGCAACCTTTGGCCGGACAAACAGCAACATTTGCAGTGTTGAACGACCACAAGGACAAACGATTAATACTCAGTGTTCAATGGGTGTTCCTGAAGTCTCTAAACGGTAAGGATCTCTTTCTTTGTGACTTGAGACAGAACAATTATGGGTAGAATTGAGTCTGCTTGCTCTGTTGCTCGATTTCATCGTTCTTGAGATTCAAGAGGTTACTTTATTTGTCCCTAGGGAAATTTGTCTTGGACATAAAGGCTGCCACATAAAAATACAGCAATAGATACAGCCAATTCAAAAAATACAGTGTACAGACACCAAAACAAAAATACAGACACCAAAACAAGTTTATACCGAGCGTTGTGAACCTAACCTATACCAGGTTGGATTTATATGGATCTGTCAACTCTAAACCTACTCTGAAACTCAGTTTGTTCAACTAGCTTCATGCAACAGGCCTCAGATGATGTACTGGTTAATAGACATCTGTCTGCGTTTACTGAGAAGGATGTGTGGCTGCAGAGTATTAAAAGCAGAGCTGAAGTCTAGAAATGGCTGTCTGGTGTAGGCCTTGGGTTTTGCTAAATGGTGTATTCTGGTTAGTATAGCATCCTCAGTGCCCCGATAGTCTTTATAGGCAAACCGATACGGATCTAGCAGTCCCTTTATGTTTGACCTCAGCATCCATGCCATTAGCTTTTCCAGATACTTTCATTATAATGGAAGTCAGGGCTACTGGTCTAATCATTTTCTTGTGGAACAGGTTTTTTGGGAGTAATGATTGCCTTTTCCCAGAGATGTTATTGTGTGAATTAACAGACCTTTGAAAGACAAGGACCCATCTGGTGTAAGTTCCTCTGCAAATGTCTTCAAAAGGAAAGCTGAGACGCCATCAGGGCCTGTTGCCTTATAGTGTTTGTTCTTTTAAAAAGTCTTGTGACTTCCAAGGGACTATTGTCTATCATTGGAACCCAATCATCACTTATGGTATAGTTTAAAAGATAAGTCATGTGAATCAAACCTAATCTAGCAGTTATTCAAATCATTTGCCATAGTATTGTCATCAGTTTTGTGTAATGGTTTCCTAGTGGGAGTCATATTTGTAATGGATTTCATGATGGCCCACAGTTTCTTTGTATTTGCACAAGTCCTTTTCTATGGATTCCTTGCATTGATTTTTAGCTATGTTGAGTTTCAGCTCCCTCTGCGCTTTTTTTTTTTTTTTTAACAGGTTAGTTATGTAGATTTAAGGTTTCCAAGAGTCCAGTCAGGACTGCATCTTTGTCCTTTTAAACAGGTGTGATGGACTGAGCGTGTGTGAGTTAAGCACGCAAGGACTTGCAGCACGAGATCCTTGTGATGGCACCTACAAGTACTACACTACCAACTATATTTGCATCCAAGCAGGTTTGGATTTTGTTTGTCTCTTCCTCCATTTCTTCAACTTTCTGTGCAAGCCTGTAATGGTCTTCCTCTTCCAGAAAAAAGTGTAACTTGTCATGGTGGATACTCTTACTTGACATGTGGTGAGCTATTTTTCCATGTTCAATTTGGAAAATGTAGGTTATCTTGAACTTTTCCACATGTTCATGCAAGATGCATATTTTTGTTTGTTAAATCTCTGTAGAAAGTGGTACGATTCAGATGAATTCTGCACACTATGGACGTACAGATAAATTCACCTGCTCGGAAGGACGTCCATCGAGTGAGCTCCAAAACTCCAACTGCTATTCTCCCAATGCACTGGCTCCTGTGTCGAAAAGGTTTGATGAAAAGAAAGTTTAATACTGTTGTATGTAACTTCTGCTGTACCTTGTCTTTAGTAATGACGAATGTAAGGATCTTTTCTTTTCTTTTTTTTTCTGTAAAGCTGCAATGGCTTGGCAAGTTGTGAGTTGTTTGCGACACAAACAGTCTTTACTGATCCCTGCGTTGGCACGTATAAGTACCTCACAGTCTCCTATTTTTGCCTCCCAACTGCACTCCGTGAGTATCCCTCAACATGTCTACTTCCAATTCACTTTGATCCAGGAAGTGTTTGAGCTAATGGTGAAATATTTAGTTATTTGTCTCCTGTTCACCAGCGACGCACAAACCAGTCACCACCAGACATGCTTTTCAAAAGCATGATCACTTTACACAAGCTCAAGCCTTTTATTTGAAAGACTACTACTCACTTTACTAATGATCTAACATCCTCTGTTTTCTGTAGGTTCAAGTGTGATCTGCGAAAATGCAAATGCTACTCTGAAATGTGGTGTGTATAATGCTACATGAATGTTGCTTAAAGTTGAATTGTTTTTAGAGCAAGTTGATTTTGAAGCTGAATTGTTGTCGTTTTTAGAGCCAGGGACTGTCATTAACGTTCACACTGCTAACTATGGGCGAACTGATCGCAGCACATGTTCTATCAGAAAACCTGCTTCTCAGACTGCCAAAACAGACTGCTACTCCTCAAACTCCCTGGCAATGGTTACTGATGAGTGAGTTTATTCTTTTTATAAATTCAGTTTAAATGCAGTGTTTTTTTTTTTTTCATAGAACCTTGACCGACTTATTTCTCTTATTTCTCCCTTTTTATAGGTGTGAAGGAATCAATAGCTGTGACCTAGTAGCCTCCAATGGTGTCTTCTCAGATCCATGTTTCGGCACATTCAAGTTTCTGTATGTCTCTTACAGCTGTGTAGATGACTAAGTGTTACTGTCTAGTGAAATTGCTGGGGGTTTTTTTGTACAACCTTGTTTTTAGGATTATTCAAGACGCTAGATTGTTAGCTCGCTTCATGATTCGTTTTCTTTCTTGGAGAATACAGTGTCTGGACTTGTGGAATTTAGCTTCAAACCTATTTCAAAGTTGTTTCTTTGCAATAAATGCCTTGGAAGACATTTGTTCTTGTTGGAGTGCTTCCTAGTAGTTTGATCATTTCACAAACCATCACGTACACCAGTTATACTGCAAAGTAAAACAAATGCCAGCAAATATAACTAGCCTAAATATGCTATATTTTATTTTTGCTCTAACTGTTTGTAGTGTGAGGGAAACATTTGGGAAACTGTTCCCATTCAAATTGTACCACTGATCAATTTATAAAAAGCTTGTAACGGAGGCATGACCATCTCTTGAACTAACCATACCCCCCTTAGTCGACTCAACTTTTGTAGCACTTATACATTGAAATTGTTTAATGGTGCAAATGGATAAATGCTGCTTTAGCACAGCTCTAAAGAGAAAGTGGTATTCATTGTTCAGTGATTCAGTTCAATAACTGTAAAGATCTATGAAATTAGTTCAATTCAACTAAAGCAGCTCTGTAGAAAATTGTGATCATTACTTGATCTCTTCCGCAAAATCCGCATCAACATGGTTTTCATAGGACAAAACCCAGAAATGAGTTGGTATCTTAGTACTTTGGGCTCCATTGTCCTGAAGTCATGGGTTGTATGAAATGATGTTTTGGTTAAATGCCTGAAAGTCTTTGGTGAACACGTGCTCAAGATGTTTTCATGTTTTATTTTATGGAATAAATGCATCAGTAATACCCTCCTGTTAAGCTTTTACTTGTCTCAAGAGGCAGTTGTTAAGTGGCTAAATGGGCCTGCAGAGGTTGTTGGGGATATTTAAATGTCATCACACCAAACAAGTAAACTCACCTAGTCGGCTTTAACAGCCTCATTATTTAACTGTGGTATTGCAAATTATTCTAACTCAGCCTTTAAAATACATTTTCCTTAAGTTTGAGTTCAGAAGCTTAATGGTGTATTTTGCTTATGGGCAAGTTTATTTATATAGCACATTTCATACACAATGGTAATTTCAAAGTGCTTTACAGAAAAGGAATTAAGTTCCAATCTTTTTTTTTAAACCCATCTGGAATGGAAGAAATGGAGTCAGATTTGCAATTTTACACTAGACATGCTCATTCTAGTGTCAACTTTCGTGGGAGTGTTTGCGCACAATTCACTGCCTGCCATACAGGTGATACTCAAATTTAGAATATCGTGCAAAAGTTCATTTCAGTAATTAAACTTTAAAAGGTGAAACTAATATATTATTTAGACTCATTACATACAAAGTGAGATTTCAAGCCTTTTGTTATAATTTTAATTATGGCTTACAGCTATGAGAACATCAAATTCAAAATTAGAATATTGTGAAAAGGTTTTCATAGCTGTAAGCCATAATCAATTATTACAAATATTGGCTTGAAATCTCACTTTGCATGTAATGAGTCTGTTTAATATATTAGTTTCACCTTTTAAGTTGAATCAATCAAATAAATGAACTTTTGCACAATATTAATTTTTTGGGTTTCACTTGTATATGGCTTCAGTGCTCCCAATTAGAGTGCAACTTTGTTGTCCGCCAGAGCAGATTTACACGGATCTTCTGCACCCAGAGGGAATGACTACTACAAAATATTTGTTGAGTTATTGTTAAACTACCCTTGAAGACAAATCTTCCTGGTCCCACCAGGATGTAAAGCCCCAAATGCTTAAACCGACAGCCTTAATGAAATCTTCCTACCAATAAATAAAATCTTAGCCAAAAATTAAGAACAAGGATATTTAAAACGGTTATTAAAAGAATAAAAAGATCAGTCGGACGTATTACAGTACTCATTAAGTAAATGCACAGCTAAACGAATGTGTTTTGAGTATGGTTTTAAATGTGACTACTGTTGAAGCACATCTGATCTCTTCTGGAAGCTGATTCCAGTTATGGGGGGCATAATAGCTAAAAGCGGACTCACCGTGCTTTGAGTGAACCCTTGGTATTTCTAGCTAATGTGTTCTGAGTGATCTGTTTATATTCAGTGATTCTGCAATGTATTGAGGTCCAAGGCCATTGAGTGATTCATAAACAAACAATAATACTTTAAAATCAATCCTAAATGTAACTGTAAAGACCCGAGGACTGGTGTAATATGTTCATATTTTCTGGTTCTGCTTAGAATCCTGACAGCAGCGTTCTGTATGAGCTGCAGCTGTCTTATGGTCTTTTTGGGAAGGCCAGTGAGGAGTTCGTTAAAATAGTCCACCCTTCTGGTGATAAAAGCATAAACGAGTTTCTCTAAGTCTTGTCTGGAAACAAAGCATCTAATTAGTGCAATATTTTTGTGATGATAGTATGCTGATTTAATTATTGCTTTGACATGACTACTGAAACTAAGGTATGACTCCAAAATTACACCAAGATTCCTGACTTAATTTTTAGTTTGTTTGACCCCTAGCATCAAGGTATGCGTTCACCTTGAGAACTTTATCTTTGTGTCCAAATGCAATGACTTCATTTTTGTCTTTGATGAAGTTAACAGTTGGATGTGTGCCAAAACTTTCTTCAGTTAAACAATGCATTGGCACAGGGAGTCAATGGGGCTGTAGTCGTTAGGCAATAGGGCAAAGCAGATCTACTCAACTCAACTCAACTCAACTTTATTTATATAGCACTTTCAACACCACAAGTGGAACCAAAGTGCTGTACAGAAGGTATAAAAAATTAAATAAAAACAAAGACATAAAAACAATGCAAACATGACATACACAACTTACAAAGCATTATCAAATGCTAAAGAGAATAGATAAGTTTTAAGCGCACTCTGAAAAACACCCAATGAAGGACAAGTTTTTACAGACAGAGGAAGCTCATTCCAGAGCCTGGGAGCTGCAACAGAGAATGCCCGATCACCTTTACATTTTAAACGGGATCGCGGAACCATGAGAAGCAATTGATCATTTGAGCGCAGAGATCTACTGGATTGACAGCGGCTGATTAAATCAGTAACATACTCTGGTGCTAGGCCATGCAGAGACTTAAAAACATACAGCAACGCTTTGTATTGAACTCTGTATCGTATGGGTAACCAATGTAGTTTAATTAACACCGGAGTAATGTGCTCTCTCTTCTTAGTGCCCGTTAAAAGCCTGGCAGCTGAGTTCTGAACGAGCTGCAAACGGGAGAGAGAGGCCTGACTCACACCCAGATACAACACATTACAATAATCCAAACGAGATGACACAAAGGCATGAACAACCTTCTCCATATCGTCAAAATAAAGGATAGATTTCAATTTAGATATTGATCTAAGATGGAAGAAACTATTCTTAACGACAGCATTGATTTGACGATCGAATTTAAGCTCAGAGTCAAAAATGACACCAAGGTTCCTCACGCTAGACAGTTTTTTCCCGGGAAACAACCCCAGGCAGTCATCATCCACACACCCCTTATTTCCAAATAAAATCATCTCTGTCTTATCCTCGTTTAATTGGAGAAAGTTATTCGCAAGCCAACACTTAACTTCAGCCAAACATGCATGAAGAGACTGAATGGCACAATTATGGCCATATTTCAGTGGTAAATAAATTTGAGAATCATCTGCATACAGATGATACTGAATCCCAAATTTCTCAAAAATCGAACCTAGAGGAAGCATATAAAGGGAAAATAAAATTGGCCCCAGTATAGAGCCCTGTGGAACCCCACACACAAGAGGGGCAACGGAAGAAAAATAATTCCCTAAACTGACTGAAAAAGTCCTATCCTTCAAATAGGAAGAGAACCATTTCAGGGCTAAGCCCTGAATACCAACCTGATCCCTAAGACGATCAATGAGAATGTTATGATCAACTGTATCAAATGCCGCTGTAAGATCTAACAAAAGCAAAACAACACGATTTCCGGAATCAACACCTCGTAGGATATCATTAGAGACCCTCAGAAGAGCAGATTCTGTACTATGACCAGCTCTAAAACCTGACTGGAATCTATCGAAAATGTTATTTCTCATTAAAAAGTCATTAAGTTGTGCATTCACAATTTTTTCCAGTATCTTAGAAATAAAAGGCAATTTTGAAATCGGACGAAAACTACTCATGTCAAAGGGGTCTAAGCCGTTTTTTTTTAAAAGGGGCTCAATAACCGCATGCTTAAAACTAACCGGAACAACACCAGATGACAGACTAGTATTCATAATAGACAGAATACTTGGGCCAATTGAATCAAGTACCTTCTTAAACAGAGAAGAAGGGAGCACATCACCAGGAGACCTGGTGGGCTTCATATGAGCAGTTATATCATTAAGCATAAATCATCTACTTAGCCCTGTCGCCTAACGACTGCAGCCCCATTGACTGATCTTCTGATCTTCATAGCTGGTAATCTTGTGGTAATCTGATCTTCATAGCTGTGGTAAGCAATTTGGTTCTTTCTCATTATTTGGCTCAGTGGGAGCATATACAGGTTGAACAAGAGCGGTGCAAGAATTGAGCCTTGAGGGACTCCACATGTCATTGACGTCCACTCAGACTTATGGTCACCTATACTCCCATAATAACCTTTCCCTTCTAAGTATGACCTGAATCATTTTAGGACCATCCCAAAAAGCCCGACCCAGTTTTCCAGCCTGTCAAGAAGTATGTCGACTGTGTCAAATGCAGCACTGAGGTCGAGTAGTACCAGCATTGATATTTTTCCTGTATACATTTTTAAGCGAATATAATTTATTATCTTAATGAGCTGTGCTGTGATGTGGTCGGAAACCAGATTGAAAATTGTCAAAGTATCCATTTAAGCTTAAGAATTTATTCAGCTGATTGAAAACAACCTTTCCAATGATCTTGCCTATGAAAGGAAAATTTGAGATTGGTCTGTTGCTCAGTATGGTGTTATCCAGATTGCTCTTTTTCAGGAGG